AGAGAGAGAGAGAGAGAGAGAGAGAGGGAGGGTGAAAGAGAATGGGAATGGCAGGGCAAAGAGACTGGGAACCAGTTGGGAGAGGGGAGATGAGAAGGAGAGGAGACAGCTCTGATAAGGGGCCACCTTACAGAGGATAACTGGGACTGAATGGAGAGACCGGGCCAAGGAGCCAGAGGAGATGAGGACGGTGAAGCCCAGGGAAGGAGACTGGGTGCAAATGGGGATAGGAAATGTGGGTGGGTGGTGTCTGGAGACCATGGAGCTGGGAAATGAGAAAGCAAGAGAGAGAGAGAGAGATCAGAGAGTGGGGGAGGGAAATGGCACTGGCTGGGCAAGGAGATTGGGAACAAGGAAGGTGAGTGGAGGGGACTGGGAACAGCTGGACAATGAGACTGGAAGCAGGATAAGGGGGTGGCAGTCTGGGAATCTGGAGGGATAAGGCAAGGAATTACAGGGCAAGAAGCCTGGGATCAGCAGCCTGAAGAATGAAAACTGGGACTAAAGGTGAAGAGAATGGAATTGGGATGAGGAGCCAGAGGTGGGGTACAGACAAGTTTGGAAGGGTCAGATTGGAAGGGTCAAGATAGAAGGGGTCAAGATTGGGGTGGGGGGGAGGGAGATGGGGAGGAGAGTGTACCCACTACAGCACAATCCCTTCTAGAGCCTGGAATGGAACCCCACATCCCTGTGTTTTACCACTCTGCTGCTGTCAGCAAATATCAGTGAAGCCCACTGGCAAAGCAACCCACCTGCCTCTAGAGCTGATCCACATAGAGGATGACCAACTACTGCTACAGTTACTCCATCAGCTCAAGTGGCAGAGATCTTTGTGGTAGATGTAAGGGTTCTAACCCTGCTGACCACCCATGTGGCTGTCAATAAGGTGCCACATGATGAAAGTTCTGTTTTTTTCTAACTTGCTTTTTTTAAAAACTTAGAAAGTACTCCCAAAAGTCTACATTAAAACAACATTATTAAGGTTGCAAATTCAAGCACTGAAAAGTTGGGAAATGTCAGAATTAAGGTTCCCTGTGTAACCTTAATTTGGCCCCCTTGTGTCTATGCATTAGGATGAAGTTTTTAATTACATGATCATATACAGTAAAAGCTGTTTTATCCTGCATATTGGGGGTACAGGGGGTGCCGGTAAATGAAAAATGCTGGTTAACTAAGAGGGAGGGAGTTTGGGTCTGGGGCAGGGGCATGGGAGGGAGTGCGAGGCACGGGCTCTGGGAGTTTCGGTGCGGAAGGGCGCTTGGGGCAGAAGGTTGGGGCATGGGAGGGGGATCGGGATGCCGGATCCGGGGGTGCACTCACCTTGGGCAGCTCATGGCCAATAGGAGCTGCAGAGCCAGCACTCAGGGCAGGGTGGGGGCAGGGCACAGAGCTGCCTGCTATGCCTCCGCCTACGAGCAGCCAGGACAGGTGAGAGCCCCCCGGATCTGGCACCCCGAACCCTCTCCCGCACCCCAGCCCCCTCCCAGAGCCCACACCCCCTCCCGCGCCCGCACTCCGAACCCCTCGTGGCCATTCCTCTGCCTAGGAGCAGCAGGGACATGTCTTCTGGGGAGCCACACGGAGCCAGGTAGGGAGCCTGCCAGCCCCACGCCAACCAGGACTATAAACTGGACTTTGTATGGAGATTAGAAATGCCAGTTTATAGAGCTTTCCGGTTGGTACAGAGCTGGATAACACAGCTTTTACTGTACTCTTTTTTCCCACGGGACCCTTGCCTCAGGACAGACCTGCTCTGGGGGCACTTTGTGGAGAAGGAAACTGTTGTCTGCAAGACCCTCACCTCATCTCTTGCAGAAACTGGAAAATCTGTAGTGAACGAGGCAGGGGACTTCTGGAAGAGAACAGCTGGTCTCATAATTAAGATAGCTGAATGCTGCCCTGGAGAACTGGATTCTATCCCTGAATCTGCCACAGAGTTCTTGTGTGTTTCTGGTTACATCCTTTAAACCAAACTTTGCACAGGGGTTGGTCACTAATTGCGTATTCCTTAGTTTCTTGATGCTTGACTTGAGTCTCTTGGTCTGATTTGCAGAAAGGCTGAGCACTCATGGCTGCAACTGAAGTCAATGGGATCTGTTCTTTGAACATATGAAGAGCTATGTAAATGCTAAGTACTCTGAGAAATCAGGTCCAGGTCTCAAATTTGACACCTGAAGTTAATGGATGCTTTTGATCTTAATCTCTCAGTGCCTCAAATTCACCTCACAGAGGTGTTGTGAAAATAAATTGATTAATGTTTGTTAAGTACTCAGATATACAGTGATGACTGCAACAGAAAGGCACGTGAGGAAATGATTAATTCTGTCTTTATGTCACAGTTTGAATAGTGTGCTGTAAATAAGTCCTAGAGCCATACAATGAAGAGAAAACAAAGTATTGAAGAGCTGCTCACTAAATGAGCACTGTTCATCCTGTGCACTAAATGAGGCAGAGAATTCTGGGGAAAAATAGTGTGTGATCATGTAATTAAACATTGCATCATAATGCATATGCAACAAGGAGGCCCAATTAAGTTTGCATAATCAAACTTGATTGTGGCATTTCCTAATTTTTGAGTACTTGACTGTGTAAACTTAATGTTCTTTTAATGAAGTTTTGTGTGTGTAACACACTGATAGGTTTCATGAATATTCTGTGCTGCCATGATAATTCTTATACACTTACCTAGAATGAATAAGTGTGAGTGCTTTCAGTGCAAGTGTTAACCAAGAATCTGTAAGAGCTTCAATTTCTGCTCTAAGTTGCAACCAAGCTTCTCTCTTTGCGGGACCAAGAAGACCTGTGGTGCAGAAAAGGGTACTCAATAATATGTCTGTATTTAAACTCAGATACCTTTCTGTTATTTCCTTCTGCTTCCATTAGTTGTAAGAACAGTTTTCTGTAGAGACTACAAACTGAACAGTTCTCTGAGTAAACAGAATCACGTTGAAAAGGATCAGCAAACAAAGGCACGGCTAATCCTTTTTATTTATAACTTCTCATTTGTCTCAAGAAACAGGTGAGTAATATTTTTGATGGACACTTGCCTCCAACGTTATTTTTGTAGGTGTTGTAGATTTCTTTTACGCGTCTGTAACGGAAGGCCAATTTTCTCATCCAGTCCACTCCTCCACGCACACCCGTTGCTAAGCATAAATTAGCGCTGGTGGCTGCTGCAGGAAAGCCGTCTGTTCCGAAGTTATAGGTGCTATTTAGAGTGAAGAAAACTCCCAAATTAACAAAATATGATGAGCAAAAATTAACTGTCAGGTATACTAGTGACACTGATGGAGTTTCAAAGGTATAACTGAAGGCAGAACTTTGCCCAATATATGTTTCATGGTATTTTACAATTTTTCCAGGAAAATAACTTGCAAAACCAATGTATTATCTTGGGTGGTTCTGACTTACCTTAAGTCTTGGCCATTGTCATCTGAAGACACATCATCTATATGAACCTGGTCGCATTCCTAAGATGACAAATTTTTCCTTATTAATTATTATTATTAGGCTAAATTAAAAAACAAAACCAAAAAAGGCTTAAAGATCTGCTCATTGGGGGCTTTTTTTTGATTATGTAAATCAGTAGATGGCAGTCTTGTTAAATCAATAATTTTACCCACTTTTTATGCTCCATTCATAGAAGAAATGTGCACTGTCATTAACTACTACTACTACATGGCTTTCTGAAAACACATTTTTGTATTTAGAAAGGAAAGCGGTTAAAAACAATTAGCGTATGTGTTCCATAAATGTTCTTGTACCCTTTCAGGTACCTTAAAACATCATGCTGCTCAAAGCTGATTCAGTCAGTGCATAAGTATAACTGAAACCAGACATTTTGGTAAATGTAACATATTAGAAAAATTAAACCTGATGCTAACCGCCAATGAAATTATGACCTCTGATTGCTGTTGAGCCACACACCAACATAGCCTGAGGCCAATGTTTCAGAGGAGTGCAGACAAAAAAAATCTGTTCCTAGTTTGCCATTCATTTGAGAGTTGTGAGCTTCTCTCTTTCTCTTTGGTCTTAGTGTATGAAAACAGCATGCAAAGATGAAAAAAATCTAAATAGAAATAGCCAAGTCAAATGACCTTTCTTCAGTCCCTTGTATATAAACTTTAATACAATACATTTATAATTAGCTTTATCTCAGTAAATTACAATGTAATAGTACATGTTGTTTGCTATTAAAGGGCAGTTGAACATGAATTACTATTAACAGTTTGACATTTGGCAGGTAAATAAGCAAACCTCTAGCATTGTAATTCAAACTGAATCCAGCGTATAAAACAGTATGTCCCAATTATTTCAATAATGCCCTCTTTTCCTGCCTAACGTGAAGCCCCATAACAAAGATGATACATTTAATGTGCTAAAACACTGGAATTGTATATTTTTGTGTTAGTGCTTCCCTCTGAACAAATTTTTCTCTCTCCATGGATTTGTGAGGGATGGAGGGAAGATAGAAGTGGAAAGAAACGCAAACCAGCTGTTCCCTAACAGAATTAAAATCATGACCCTCAACCCCTGTTCTAAAACATCTATTTTCCAGCCAGTCTTCTCCCAGCAAGCAGCAAGCTCCAAGGAGGAAAAGACTTTGACCCTGTAACCTTCTCCTCCTCTCCTGAGGTCAACAACCTCAGATAAGAAAAAAGGAAAAGAAAGTCTATCTGGCCTCACATGATGGTTGTGAATTTAAGATTAAAAAAAACCCATAGGTTGCTATATGAGGACACAGTTTAGAAAATTTCTAAAGCTATTTAGAAAATTAATGATATTTGCTCTAACACTATTCTATATATTTGTAAAGTGTGCAGTTCATACAGTGACAAGAATTTTGTTGCACCTTTGTATTTGAATTAATAGTAGTTTGGCTAAAAGAGAAATAAAAATGAACCATGATATGAGTGGCAGAACTATATTTGCTCAGATTTAACCATCATCCAAGGCATTGCCTGCTTTGGCAGATACAATGGATTTGACGCACAATCAAAGTCAAAAATTAAACTACACATTTGCTAGAAAGGCTTGAAAATCAACTTGGCTGATACAAGTAGAAAATTCCGTGGTCATGTGACATCAACTCCTGTAGAATCTAAGTTTTCATTTCAAACAAAAACTAGTTTCTAGTCTGTATAGGTGTGACAATAATCATTCAAATGTGAACTGCAGATGTAAATTAATGCAGTGTCATCTTTCTGAGTCTACACACAATATGTTTCAGTGCCTCTGCTGCTCAGAGAGATTTTTCCAAGCTGCTGCAGAGTAACACGTGAATCTTCAGTTTTCTATGCAGCTATTCAGAAACCTGTTTGCAGTAGCGAAATGAACAAGAATCAAGTCAATTTCATTCTATCAGAGCCTGGGAGAGCAATGAATTGCAGCTGGAGCTAGTCACTGGAGAGGAAGGTTCAAACTGAGACTATGGGAAGGAGACACACCACTTGCAATGGCCACCAAGCTAAGGGAAGCAGCAGAGACCCATCCCATCACACAGGAGAGGCTGAGGAAGGGATAGAGTAGTGGAAACCTCCCAACTCATCCATGCACCAGAAACTTTTGGACAGTAGATGGGAATAGTGAGAGAAAGAATGCTCCTTGTTCCTTCCAACAGCCAGAGAAGGTCTAGGGCCTAGGGAACTACGAAGTAGACAGGACCCCCACTGCTCAGAGGTGGATACAAAAGACAGGGTCTAGGGACAGCATCCTAGTAGGCATCACAAGCACCTTCTCCTTTCCCAGCAACTGGGATTGAGGTAGTTGCCTGCTCACCTGGATGGGTCGATAAAAAGGACTTTGACCCTGTAACCTTCTCCTCCCCTCCTGAGCTCAACAACGGATAGGATAAATTAAAATACGAGATTGAAAGAGAGAGAGTGACTGATTTTGCAGAGATAAGTGGGGGGAAAAAAGAGAAACAGAAAATATATTGGAAGAGGCAGAGAACACAATGTAGGGAATGAGGGGAAAAAAAGGAAACACCTGGAAAACAACAAAGAGAAAGATATTCTATGATCTGTTATAGGAAATAAAAGAAAAAGTGAAGTCAGGATGGGAAAGAAGGTAAAATAAAAGCAAGGGAGGAAAATTATAATTTAGAAAGGATTAAATAGAAAATTGACTGACAATATGTTATAAGTAACAGAGGTCACAAACAGTATGCAACAGTTTTGTTCTTTTTAAATGCTGGACTCTGGCTTTGGGGCTAAGTATGGTTTGAGACAGGGGTGGCACAGCTATTTTTCATTCTGTTTAGCTGACTAACAGTTTGGGCTAGTGGGTGTTGGGTAAATTTTTCAAGCCCTGGACACCAGAAGGAAAAATGCTCTTCTTTAACTCATTTAGCCGGAAATCTTTTTGCAGAAGCCAATTATCTCTTTATTGTTAATTAATCTAGTCTGCCTATTCTTCTGGAATATCCTGTGTTTGTTTTCACCTGCTTGCTTTGGGGCTTGTTGTCCCCGAGCAGAGGCAGCTATTTGAAGCTTTGTTTGGTATCTTTGTTAGCTATAATTAAGTCTCAACAAATGTCAGGACTTAACATTTTAAAACCATGGGTTACCAAACAGATATCATAGAGATTTGATTAAATGAAGTTTAATGGAGTGACTGAGAGCGAGACAATTTTCATGCTTTGTCAGTACATTTTTGCAAAGGTCTCTTTCAATGAAAACACAAAGACTTTCAGAAAATCCTAAAGCACTTCTAAAAAAGCCTCACTGATTGGGTGCTACCACAGAAGATGGAAACAATTTTTTATAAACACACCTTTTTAATGTTTTAAGAAAGCTATGAATAACATCTTTCCTTTACCTCTCTTATAGATGTATAAGGCCACTGAATCACACACACACCCAAAGTTTAAAGTTTTCATACTGTAAATACAGTGCATGATAAATTATATCCAGGCATGGTTTTTATTCTCCCTCTCATGCCTTTAGTATATGTAGGTTTACAACTTTATGAAAAATTTGTAAGTCCCTTCAGAAACACAGTATTCATGCGGAACTCAGAATAAATGTATATGATTCATTCAAACATGTATTTTGTTATATTAGAATCAGCATAGATACCATCTCTGCATTAAAGGTGCTAGATTCTATTGTAGATGGGCAGGATGGGTCAGCACGCAAAGCAGTAAAAGTACCTGGTGAATTATGCTGAAAAAAGGCTGTGCTTTACTTCGAAGTGTGTTGACCTTGTAATTTCAGCACATCCAGCTGGAAATCCCCATCAGGGACTGCAAGTGGTGACATGTTTGTATCCAGTTTGGGGATTCTGATCATACAACCTGAGATGTTATTCTGCATGGCGAGAATGATCAGTGGGAGGGAAAATGCAGTCAGTATTGTCTGGGGCCAACATTTTAAACAGCACCTAAGTGACTTAGGAGTCTCAGTCCCATTTTTCAGTGACTTACGCACTGAACAGCTTAAATCTCATTGATTTTGAATTAAATTTAGGCTCCCAAGTGACTCAGACACTTGAAAATGGGACAGAGGCTCCTAAGTTACTTACACGCATTTGAACATGTTACCCTTGGTGCACGTGTACCTACTATTGAGGAGAAAACACTGGCTATGTAGTCACGGAGGCTGCTACCTTATCATTTATTGGGCACTGTCAGTGTGCTCAGCTCTATACACACAGAGCAAGTCAGCCGCCAACCCTAAAAGGCCAATTCAATTCAGAACCATGTTGCATAGCTACAGTCTGGAAGCAGGGCAGGTTTTGTTCTTGGTTTTTATAAATCTTGGGGAAAGGCTGCTGAAAGGCTTCATGGAGGAAGTGAGCTTTAAAGAGGATTTCAAGGCAGAGAGGGAGGGAATTCTCAGCACACCGAGGAGCCTGCAGGAAAGCATGAGGCCAAAAGCAGAAGGATACAAAAGAGGCTTCTAGGAGGGAGACCTGGGAGAAAGGGGTCAGCGATGGGAAGGGGGAGGATTGTCCTAGCTCTTTGGAGTACAGATAGTAGGCAGGTAGGGCTTTGCAGAGCCATAACAGTGAGAACAAGAAGCTTGAACTTGCTGTGGAAGGGGAGGGGAGGCTAGTGAAGCCATTTGAAAAGAGCAGTGGGAAATATCATCTTAGGAGCTGCATTTTGGGCCTGATAATTGATTTAAATGGGCCTTGGATGAGATGAGGAAGGTGAGATGAAACACAGCAAAGCCAGAAAGAAGGGATGAACAGAAGAGTCCGGCATAGTCTTCCAGTGCACAAAGAGCTCAAGTCTTCTCTCTTCTCCATTTCCAAAGAGTTTGCTAACTCCCTATTGCAACCTTTTTTTTCCTTTTGCCCTTTTTTGCTCTTATACAGTGGCCAAACGTTCCTGTGAATTCCCCAGAACCATCATTCACAACACTTAAAAGCCTGCCCAGCCTGCATAGGTATTTCCTTCTGGATCTAGCCCCTTAAAGTAGAATCTGAACATAGCTTCATATGCAAAATTTTAAGGTATGACAAA